GGAGAACGGAACACCAACGATTTGTGCGCGCTCTTGATCAACTTTGTACATAAGAAGCTGACACTGTGAGCTGGTTCGACCATAGACGATCTCGATTGATATGTGAATTGCAATAGACAACCCGCATACCCAAAGCTACAATGTATTGTCTTGCCCGTCCTCTTGTTGACCAGGCCATAGCCTTATGGCATTAACTAAACTATAACCACATCCGCCACGAGATATCCTTTATGTCAGGAGCAGAGATAATGTTTTCGGTTTCCCGCCTAAGTTGGATTAGAATGAGAGTGCGCCCTACTAGGGAGACGTACTGTTCAACCAACCGCTCGATCATCCTCAGTATTGGCTCTTCGACATTCACTGATGTCTTGGCTGATGCCTGAGCGAATTTCATTCCGTGGTCTTTTGCAAACTCCTGGGACGCGAGCGGAACAATGAGACTGGGACGAGGGATAGTAACAAAACCACTCACCCTCGACGCGGAAATGTCCACAGCGATATCTTCTGTCAAATCAATCTTATTTCCGATCAATAATCGCGGAATTGTACGACCCCTTTCGACTTCAATTTCCTCTACTCGCTCGAGCCGCCTCGTAAGACCATGGAATGATTCTAATAGACTTGTCAGATCTACTCAAGACGTATCGTATTCCTAACCTGGATTAGTCATGTCGAACACGAATATGAAACCGTGGATATCTTTCAACCACGATGTCACGTAGATCTCGTACCTGGGAGAGCTACTCAAATCTATCTGAACTGTACATTAATATTTCGTTTAATACACGATGCACGACATAATAGTCATTGATGACGCCTCTACGACGCATACCAAATAGGAGCTGCATCGATTTTGCGTGTGCGATGCCAATAGCATTTGCTACAACAACGATACGGACATTTAATCACTCACCACATGAAGTTTTACGACCCGACCCTTCACTTCAACCACCCGCGTGGCGAAATCACAGGCGATCGTTGGTTGGTAATCTTCGCTAAAGGTATCATCGGTGAAGCGCCGTAATATACATGTTTTCCCGACTTTGTCTTCTCCTAATAATGCGATTCTGAACAAATAAAATGGGTGAGCAAGGCTCATGAATGTATCCTCTCCGCCCAAAGGCAGAGGGAGAGTCCAAGTCTGGCAATTAAGCGGTGGTGCATGTGGACTTTCGACATGCCTGTTTTCGAGGTTTAACTGAATTTCATAAGTAATAGTCATATGGGAAGATTAGTCAGGATCGAATGTGGTCTTCTGGACTGGGAAGCCGATACCACACCGCCGAAAGACAAATACATTCTATACGCTGTAGCGATATTGAGAGAGGCTAATAGCCATTTATATGACAAATTGACTCTAGCATCTACGTTGGAACTCTTCAGAAAGAGAAGCTCGTAAAAATGATTACCACACAGCGGCCTTCCTAATCACAAGAACCTTGCCACGCAGCTAGTCTCTAAATTCTCACCAGGTTTATAATATGCAGACCGGAAAGAGCATTATATTTAATTCTCATTTCTGAGGTATAGGTAAAGACTTGGCATACTGTCGCGTTATTTCCGTCTCCATTTGACTTCCGGGCCGAGTTGAATCATGTAGAGGCCTACACTTCTTTTATTAATATCATTACACAGTAATTGTCAGCGTAACTCACCGAGGATTGAAATCACGAAAACAAACCCAAACCAGGGCCAAAAACCATGGATGCCACCTTCGTTTGATTGAGGGTTTTCATGACTAGAAGGTTCAAATAAGAGCTCGAGGCAATCCAGGAAAATTCGACTTCACGTTTCCATTATCCGCTTTACTAGTGTAAGCACTAGCGTTTCCACATTGATAGACTCCTTTGCTGATGTCTCGATATAATCGAGTTCGTGCTTTTCAGCAAACTCCTGTCGCGCATTTAAATGGGGTCTGTGAATAGGCTGCTGCTAATAAACGGAGAGACGAATGCACACCTTTGCTAGCGAGACGTCAACAGCTCTTTGATCTACCAAGTCACATTTGTTTCCTACCAACGTTCCCGGCATCGGATGTTCAGCTAGAGTTTGTATTCGTTTGATCTCCTCCATCCACCTCCCAAGAGTATTGAAAGACTCTGAAGCACCACGTTTAAAGCTATTTGTATCGAAATTATGACATTGACAGACCTTCATTCGTTGTATCAAATACTAGAATGAATCCGTGTGCTTTCTTCATGTGCGCTGGTAAGCCCCTGTACCGAAACTCGAGAGCGGACATACGCCACTATATCATGGGTGAATGAGTACCGAAATTAGACATCTGAAGGAGACTATAGGCTGTATTTCTTCCATAAAAGATGCTTTCGTACGAGATCCCTTCCGTTTCATATGTATAATGCAACACGCCGTTGGGGATAAGGGACGCAGCTGGTAACATGACAGGATTGACACCAGAAAAGACTTACCAGTTGAATTTTTATAACTTTTCCTTCAATTTTGACCAATTGAGTGCGAAAGTCAAAGTTAATTGCGGGTCTCCCCCCAGTCCAGAAGGCATCGTCTACGGATCGCTCGATTATTGACGTTTTTCCGACCCTGAATCCCCCTAATACTATAATTCTGTAATTATATGGATACTGGTGGTGATCCATGAGATACTCGTTCTTCTCAAAGTGGTGGCGGAAGTAAGGACGTGTTCGGCTGCTCATGCCACGTAGGTATTCCTCTGCTGCTAAGCCCATGTGAGGTCTTCCACGTCTATTCAAGTACCTTATCTATGAAATTTCACCGAGAGAGATTAAAAATCCACCTCGTAGTCCAGAACCGTAGCCGGACATCATTCATCAATAACATTCACGAAACGGTGTCACTGTGAAAGCAACAAGGTAATATAGAACAGCAAGATGATCAGATTTGGTTCATGATAGATACGGCTCCGATAATACACAAGCGATCATCGGGATAAACCCCTTCTATTGTTAGTTGAATGGATTCACCGATTGCCTCTTTCTTTAGCCCTCTTCCGCCTCCCAAGCGTTTATTATCTATCTTGATTCTTGTTCTATTGACAAAATAATGCTTAAATCACGACAGAGTCGGCAGAATACGATGAGAAGCTAGCGAATTTTAAGGAACAGTTATTTACGTCTCGACTATCTGTTTGACCAATCCAAGTATTAGCGTTTCCACATTGATAGATGCCTTTGCGGATGTTTCGATATAGTTCAATGCGTACTTTTCAGCAAACTCCTAACGTGCATATAAACGGGTTTGATGGATAGGCAGCTGTTCATAATGAAGAGACTAGTACATACCTTTGCTAGCGAGATGCCAACAGCTCTTTGCTCTACCAAGTCACATTTGTTGCCCACTAATGTTCCTCGTATTGGAAAGGGAGCTACTCTCTGAATTTTCAAAATATTTTCCATCAGGGCCTCGAGATTGTCAAGAGACCCTGAATAAGCATCATTAACGCTGGTCGTAGGGAGACACAAGGCTTGCACCAACTTTGATTCGTGATATCAAAGACTAGGATAAATTCATGTGCATATCTCATACCCTTTGGTAGCCTTCGAAAGGAAAATAAAGGAGACATATACCACTACACCGTGATTATAGTGAGCTCTGGAAATGTACATCCAAAGAAGGTTCTAATTTTTTGAAATATGGATATCTTTTTACAAGATTACACTCGCTGTGTGCGTAGAATCCAGCAGAATGTAGGGGCATGCGAGGTGTCCGGCAACACGGCAAGGAGAGAAATGACTTACGAGCCCAACTTTTACAAGTTTGCCCCCAATCTCGACGAACTGAGTACGAAAATTCAATTGACATGAAGGCCTGATCCCCGTCGAGAAGAAATCATCTACGGACCGCTCAATTATTGACGTTTTCCCGACTTTGAAGTCCCCTAGGACCCCTATTCTGTAATTTCGAGGTTTTTGGTAGCTGTCCATGAGATATGAGTGTCTCCAAGTCCTGGCGGAAGTGAGGACGAGTCTGGCTGCCATGCCACGTAGCTAGTATTACCCTGCCGCTAAGCTCTTATTAGATCCCTCATGTCCATTCGAGTGTATTAGCTATGAAATTATACCAGTATATATCAAATATCCATCTCTCGTAGTTTAAGACCATCGTTCGATGTTATTCG